CTAGAGTAAGTCATAAAATTCCAGTGGCTGAAGAAAAAAAATACTTCCAAGCATTAAAGTGCAAACAAATTATGAGAAGAGAACTTCACCGTTGCGTAATCCTAAGTGATAATGTCCTAATTTACTTTCATTTGTATATTTTAAAATTTTCTTTTCAGTATTTGAAACTTCATGGCTCATTCTCTGAACTCACTTTTTCTGCACTTCAAATTTTAAATCAGTGATGTAAGAAAAAGACAATTTGCGAGGAAAATTTTCTTCCGCTGTAGGGCGTCCTCCTGAGAGATTTCAGGTATCTCATGACAATTTACCAAGTGCAAAAATGTGTGCCCGCTGCTATTAACAACTACTGTGTAATTGATTAACAATTGATTTGCATCAATGAGTAAGACATGGTTTACTATTTAAGATTTTAATGTTCGTGTTTAGATATATATTTTAAACAATGCATCACAAAAGGTGTCTTTAAATATCTTTCCACAATTACGAGGAAACTGATTGGGGAAAAAAATCACAAAAGTGCTATTCTTCATTAAGTGATTCCTTCAATACTTTCCTTACTGCGTGGAAGTTACTTCTCTTCTTAGGAGGTAGATGACCATCAAAAACAAAATGCAAAATCTTGTGCATACTGCTATTAAAAACCATTTAATTGTTTCAAGGGACAAATTATAGCTTAAAGTTTTAGATAAATGTTCTTAATTTTAAATGCTTGTTTTAAACAAAACAGCCCGTGAACAGCCTGTACGGTGTTCAGGCATCGTGTCAGAAAGGTCTTTGGTTAGAATCCCGCTTCGGGCATGGGTGTAATTCCTCTCTCTTTCTCTGTTCTGTCATTCTTTTGCTGTTGGGCTGACGTTGATTTACCTATAGGACATCCACGAAAAGGAGATTAACAATATCACCAGTTAAATACCACAATGGCATCTAATTGACAAATGTGGTGGGCATTGAGAAAAATTTAAACATTGCTTCTTAAATTTTGTCTTTAACTTTCAACCAACCATTCTTCCTTAAGATGCTTAGGCATCTGAAAACCATTTATAAAATGGAAAAATTTGTGATTATGATTAACAATTTTGTAATTTCAAAGAGCAATTCTTAGTTTAAAGCTTTAGGTAAATCTTCTTTAGTTATATGTTTTAAACACTGGTTTGGAAATACTGTTTTTAAATACATTCTAAGAGCAAAGCACTCTCCCAATTGCCGCTTATCTGTCGTATAGGTCATGAAGGTTAAGGCTCCACAATTTCAAGACCAACAGTATGATGGGTGCAATGTAGTCAGCATTGCGCACCGGTCGCCTTGGCTTCCAGACTAGCTGCTACTAATCAGTATGAAGTTGGTTGGGCTTGAAGCCGTCTCTGGGTTAAAACCTTTGTTCTTCATTATGTCATCACATCACTATGGATGGTTAAACATTATGTATTTATCCACATTCTCTATTCTCAGTTTCGCATGATGCTCTAAAAATTTCAAAAAGTTGGAGCAAAATTAAAAACAGCAGCATAAACATTGATGCAAAATTTCTGAGGTTGGGACATAATTCTAATTCAAAAAAAGCTAATGATAAATGAATTTCAATATTTTTTAAGCAATTAATTTGTGACTCTTTATTGTAAGCTTCTGTTGGATATTGTAGTATTACTGGTTTGAAAATTTACCTTTTATTCCCAAATTTACAATAGATTCGAAAATTATTTTCTATTTTAAATAGAAACTAACGTTACAACTATTACGGAAGTACCTTATTGAAACTAATTTGAATTGAGGCACTGAAAAGGAATCTGCAAAAAAATTACTTGTATTTCAACACTTTGTACTGTAAAATGATACTCATCATAAGTTTACTTAATAGAAAAAACTAAAAAATGAAATACATAGTAATAAGATGTAGTTTTAAGATGTTATAATTAAGAGCAATTAAATGTAAATGTGTTTCAGATCAGCAGATAGTGTCGCAGAAAGTATTATAAAATCTGAGGAAAATTTCTGATCTTGTAGATTTTTTTATTAACAGTTAAAAGTTTCAGAGATTTTTCTGCTTTGCGTGAAATTCAATATTTCTTCAATAAATTACAATATTCAACGCAAATGATTTCTGGAATTTTTTAAAAAAAATTTTAAACAGAAGAAATGTTCTATTGTTGTTGTTTCTAATGTCACTTTTTCTTTTTATTTTATAACCGTCGTTGAACGGCCGACCTAATTTTATGGATTTACGACTACTAATGTTCCTCTGAGTCATCGCGGCTCTTCTAATGCCAATTGCCAATATCAAGCAGGGCTGCTTAATAAAACCAAGCGAATATAAGGCAGAGAGTGCGTTTCATGCTTTTTACTGACACCATTTATGGTGTCAGAAAACCATTTCATCCACACACACGTCACAGCCTGTTTATAGGGCTCCATTCATACATCCCATTCATACCCAATCATTCATCCACAGATCCTAATTTTGATCCGAACTATCAATCTTCAATTCAGTACCCCCAGAGATATTGATTTGTTATGGGAACCTGATAAACTTTATGACTCGACAGATTTAACTTGCACCCTCCACCATTTGGCAGGTGGGGATCGAACTTCCGATCTCTTGGGGCCCAACACTCAACTCATCCCGGCCATAGGAAATCCTCCAAAAGTTACTAACCTGGAAAGCAGTATTCGGTACTTAGTGCTGTTAAATGATACTCAAATATCAAAAGTTTATTAAAAGCAAATAAAAAAAAATAATATATTTAAATAAAGTTAAGAATTCAACATATATATTCCAAGATTGCTGTTGAAAGCTTAGGTATTTTATACTTTTTTAATGATACTCTCTTGACAATAGGGTTGTTGAATCAGCTCCCCGTCATTTATTAAAATGTTTTTACCAAGTTTTATGTTATTTACAATAATTTTAAAAGTTAGTTTCAGCTAATCGCGTTTACTGATAAAAAAAATTATTCCGATATTCATTGTTCTTTCATTTATTGATTGTAGATTATTCATTAGACGTTGCACATTACAGTCAAGAACGTTTACCGTTTTCTAAATTATTTTCCGAAGTTGGGGGAAAAGTAATCAAAATTTTTTCCGGTATGTGATGAACTCTTATTATAATAATCGCAGTATTGTTTGAAGGTGAAAATAATGATTCTTCGAAATCAGTAATTTTCTCTCTTACTTCCATCGCAATTCCTATTTTGTACCATTAGTTTTGTAATAGCATGAATTAGTTTTCATGTTCTGTTGTTTGACTTAAAATTTCAAACAAAAGATAAGTTTAGAAGCAAAGATTTCTGTTCTGGACTTTATAATAAATGAGAGACAAAGAATCTCGGTTTGAGGATAAAAACATTATCTGGAAGTATGATGAGAGAAAAACATATAGAAAAAAATCAATATTTTTATTTTTTTTGCAATAAAAACTCACAAGTAATTTTTTTAAATGTTTTTACAACAATAGTTGCATACAATTTAGATCATTACCAACGCTAAACAAGTTCGTAGTTTATGTTTAAAGAAGAGTGCTTCCAAAAAATGCAATTCCTTTAATCATGCAATATCAAAAAAAGTAATTCAACCCAATAAATAAAAAAGAACGGAACGCTATTTTTATAGAATTAATCCAGAAGATTTTGAAGTGTTAATTGATTTTATGTTTTAGTAAGGTCGAGCAATCTATCTGTGCTAAAATAGCTAACTGTTAACTCATGTTTTAAAGACTACTGAGTCATTTTTTTTTTTTCAGGGTGCTAAAATTCTCGGTCTAAAAAATATCGAAACACTTAAAGGTTCGCATAAAATTTGCAGAATTAAGAATTTTTTTAGTCTCGAAATACTTTAAACATAAATTAAAAACAAATAAATGAAAATTTCAAAAATTTCTCTAGTACCACAACAAGAAGAACAAAACAAAAAATCTATGCATTCTGATCCAGTTGACCTTTATGCAAAAAATTTAACATTTTATTATAAATATAATAATACCAAAATATGTGAAAAATACTAAATCAAAAATGTTATTACTTTTATTTATTAATATAAATAAATAATATTTTTATTAATATAATTAAAAAAAATAATTATTCTCAAAGCACATTTTGTAATGATTATGACCTTAATGCAAAATTCCATTGCTACTAATAAATACCCCAAAAAAAAGGGATATTTCTCGTGTTTGGCGAAACCGTTTTTAGGTATATGCTCCGTGCAAAAATTTTGTTGAAGTGACGATCTTCCAAAGCGTGCGGAACTAAAATCAAGCAGTCACGAATACAGAGAATGCAAGGTAAATGGCCCTATTATAAATTTTACGAAAAAACTTAGTACCAAAATCTCTTTAAAAATTATAATACGCATCTATATAGGACTGTTTTATTTTACTTTACTTTATTTACTTTATTTTATTTGACTCAATATAAAGAAAATGATAATGAATAGTTTGTAATTAAAAATAGTTGGTTTCAGGCCCTGGCCCCAGAGACCCCGCAATGTAAAATATTTAACACTTCTGCTGGTAAAGTAAAAGAAATATACCACCCAATATATAATCCTTATTTTGTTTTATTGAAATTTTCAGTTTTGATAGACAATGTTATCTTTTTCATTTCATTTACTTATTTATTTTATATTTTAAACGGTGTGCATATTACGTTCTACGCCCTCAAAAGGAATTTGGTCCGAAAAGTATATACGTCAAACGCACTTCACTGGCTAATCATAAAAACATTCGGAATAGGAATTAAAAAATAGTGGAAATTTTTGTAAACTGAAAATTGCAAATTTTGGTCTAAAGGGAGGAGGGATTCGTTTTGTTTTATTAAGAAACAATGGGTGCCATACTTCCACCTCAGCTTTAATACAATTCCTCTTTCTCTTTCGTTGTTTTAAAGTAGGTTAGTGTTAACTACATTTTCAGGTCAATCGATTTTATCAATATATTCACAAATAGTACTCACTTACTGTTGACTATTCAGAATTAGATTTTTATGAATACTTTTTATTTACAGGATCGACGAGAACTGGTGGTTAGCCACGTGGGAAACTTAACTTCCATAGCCAGTATTGTTCCAGGCGTTACCACTTTCACCACAGGAGCTAGACTTAACCACACTGCCAATGAGTTCCAACCACCCTATTTCCCACCTCCCTACAGCAGTTTAACGCAACAACAACTGGATTTTCAGACTGATCCTTACGGTCCAGTCACATCCACATTATCGGGCAACGCACCCCAACAATACCATCATCAACTTCACTCAAATACCAGGAATTTGTTCAAAAGAGAAGACGAAGCTAATTTACATTTGCAAACAAATATGTTACCTTACACTGATACGACGCGGAGAACGGACTTAACAGCTTATGCTAGGAGACCAGACATTTTAGTGCACTCGGCCCACACACTCACAGATCAAGACATCATAAACCTTCACAATTCTGGAGCTTTAGCTGGACTAGACGATGGACAGGTAAGAATATTCATTACATTTTTTAGGTTAGAGTGTCACACACACTATGTTCAATTTATTCCTCCTTTCTATCTCTTTTTTAACACGTATAATATACTTTTGTTTGCATTTTCATAATTAAATTTACTGAAAATAACGAAAATATTTATTACAAAATAAATAAAAATTTAATTAGATTATTGAAAAATTATAATTATAATTTTTTTTTAATGATATTCTATGTATTTTAAATTAAACTCCGTATAAATTAAGTGAAACTTTATGCCGCTTAGCTTTCACTCTTCTTATGACACTGTTAAAGTCAATAAATTTGCTTAGAATTTTGTCTATTTGTTCTATCTGTAAAATTTTCTACTCGCTTAATCAAATCGGCAAAAAACGCAAAAAAAAAATTTTACGTAGAAGTTTAAACTTTGGATAGCTCTCCTCACCAAACTATAGGGACCCTATTTCCCAGATTTCGACTATATTTTGGGATCAGAAATCCGAATCCGTACGAGAAAAAAAAGTATGTTTATTCATAAAAAGTAAGTTTTCGTGCCTGATTTCGTAACTTAAAATATCATCCGCATTAACTAATTAGCAAATCTTGAAGTTACTCCAATCATATCATTAAAATTGAGTCCCAGAACGTAAAGATCCAATCATTAGATTAAAAATTATTAAAGGTAATCAGTATTTTTTTTTCCTACTGTACAGAATTTACAAGCTATTAAACTCACAATTACTCAGGTGGCAGCTCAAATATTTCATAAGTAAAGGCAAACGTATCATTTTCTTTTCTGGCACTATTTCATGATTTAAAATAAAGTAACTAAAAACAATATACGAGTTACACTTAAGTGTAGAAATAAATAGATTGGCAGTCATAATTTGCTCAAAAGATATTCATGCATTATTTGTCTTATTCAAAATTATAATTATATGCTCTGCCTTCTCATTCTTTTGGTATACTTATAAGTTACCTTTTGATATCAGCCATATAACGTTTGCATTTTTCTGCCACACCAAACCGACAACTGACAGTACCTTAATAACAGCCATGTCAATTGGATTGGATTGGATATGCCAATGGAAAATGAACGAGAAGTTGAAGTAATCTTACTTGTCATATGCTTAGCCTTTTATCTATTATAAAATAAAACTAATTGGGTTGTCAACAACACTCAATTAAATGAATCTCTAAATATAAATAATCATAATAAAATATACTCATTTCAGGTATAACAACATATTTTTGTTGTTGTTTATAATAATCATCTTTGGCGCGTGCAGAAAATCTAAAAAGTAGTTAGATCATATAACCACGATCTGTCATAGAGAAACTGTGACAGGTTTTCGTGGTTTTCTTTTCCGAGTAACACAAATGCGGTTTAGATACACTGAGAAAAAGTAAATGTGGAGGGGAGTTTGATCCAATGCTTGATCCATGAGTTTTTCTTTCCTTTATTTATTTATTTATTTTTATTTGTTATTAGTAGATATTATTATTATTATTATTTTTTTTTTTAGAGAATTACGAAACTGAAAATTTATTTGATAGGGATTGTTTATAATAATAATCTTTGGCTCGTGTAGCAAACTTTATTAAGCAATAACAACAAATAGAAATACAAAGAAAAGGAGAAAAAATACATTTTAAAATTAATACTGACACCACAAAATAATATGCTAATAACCTAGTGAAAATTTGAAAATACATCGAGATTAGTATCTGATCGCTTTATATTTACATAACATAAATTTTCTATAAAAATTACAGTTTAATTCTTACTTCAGCTCTAAACAAATCGGAAAGTTGTATAATTGTATTTCTCTGTTGTATCTCTCTTGTAGGATTGTCCTAAGGCAGTCCTCACAATATTATTTGGTCAATGAGTAGTAACTGTTGCTGAACCTATAAAAATGTTTATTAACGAAAAAACCCAAGTGTTTACTTTTTTATTAATTTTAAATCTCCACTTCTCTAACTGATATTAGAAAGTGTTATTAGCCTTAAAATTGCATAATCAGCCGATAAACACTTTTTTTTTAACCTTACAAATTACTTTATATATTAAAAAAAAATTTGGAAGTAGCGTGTATAGTTATTTCTTTTTTCTCCTCATGGCATTCTACCCGAAAGTTGACTACCGCTACTAAACACAGTAAAAAAAAAAAATTGTAAAAAAACGGGTGAAGCTTTTCAACTGAATTGCCAGACCTCATTATTTAAATTGTAGTTTGCTTTAGTTAAGCTTTTTAGCTGTAATTTTATGGTATACAAACGAATTTTCTGCAAAAAAATAGAAAACAGTCTGTAAAAAATAGAAATCGGTGATTTTTTTTTCTTTTTTTAAATCGTAACTTTTTTGCTACTGTGAGAATTTTTTTTTTAAAATGAAATGTTAATATCGAATTCCTTATTTTTTATTTTTGCTATTTATTTATTTTAATTAATAAAAAAAATTACGATGAAAGAAATTTAGCATTGCAAAAATTAGCACATATCAAATCCTAAACCACATGTAATGCATTAACATTTATTCTTTATAAAATAGTTGCTCAATCGAGTCTCAGAAATTCATATTTTTTTTCTCTTTAAAACGTGTTTTTCTCATAAAAATATCTTTTTATTCTCTGAAAAGGTTGACTTGGAATCTAATACAGGAATTTGCAATTTCTAAAAGTAAAATGGCTTAAATCATAGCCCCGTGATTGTACTTATTTTCATTTATTTCTCTTCTGATAGAAGCTTTTGAAAATACTGTAATCAATACAGAAATGAGATTGGCATGAAATAAAATGTTGAAAAAGCAATAATTTACGTTCCTATTTTTATATTATTTGAAGCTTATTTTCTAAAGAATAGAATTTTTTCTTTTCCTTCAGGTTTCAGTTTAACTTCTGTATAATGAATTACTTTCTGTAACCATCACGAACTGACCTTCTACTTAAACATTTTCAGCGAGTCAGAAGAATTCTACAGATTTTTTTCCCATACCCCTGACAATGATAAATCGTCAAATAATATCTTTTGCGAAAGCATCGCGAGAAAATAAAAGAAAAACGAAATGATTATAGTAGCTATTTAAAGAAAATAACTGTACTTTTTTTTATTTCTGCAACCCCATTTTGTCATCTTTTGTGTTTACACAAAAACTTTTGAATACGAAAATTTTAAATCATGCGATGGTTTGACGAGATTTCTCCTTCTATGCTTTGTGTCAAGATGACATTTGGCGAATGAACTTCTTGAAGATAGTTGGCAATAATTCCACCCCTCTTTCCAGTGTCCCCTCCCCTTCCTTCGTCAAGATTCCAGAGCCACAAGTTTTCCTTGAGGGTTGTTGACCCTTTCTTCCTATGCTTGCCACATTCCTTTGCTAGCAGCAGCACACCTGACTTTTTAAGAACGACAATTTCTATCAATATCCCCCACATTTACATTTAATCATCAGCTATCGTAATAAAATTTCCCTTCCTATCGCTAAGTTTCCCTATAATTTATTAAACCACACACAACGGTGTTAGCCACTGGCTATTAAGTAGTAGTCTTGTAAAATTTGTGACACATTCAGAAATAAGTAAAGAATATCGATACATAGAAATATAATTTGAGTAAAAAGAAAAAGTTCAGAAACGTAAAAAAAGTGTGGAAATTATTTAGAATATAGACATTTTTATCTAATTCGTGAGGATATATTTAAACGAATTTTCACCAACAGTATAGTATTTTTTACTGCAATTCAGGTATATTTTAGAAATTTTAAAGCAGTTTGTTTATAAAATGAGTGTGGCATGGTAATATACACTAGAGTTACCATTTTTATTAAACAACTCACATTAAATTTGCGCAAAGACATAAAAAGTCCGAAAACCTCTCGAGCTTTATTTGCCATTAATAGGCTTGTAAATAATTTATCACTTGAAAAATAAATTTACATCATCATCGTTGAATAGACAATCCCTATCGGAATAAATTTTCTGTTTCGTAATTCTCGAAAAAAAAAGAAAAAAAAACCTATGGATCAAACTCCCCTCCATATTTACTTTTTTTCAGTGAATTTAACGCGCATTTGTGTTACACAGAAAAGAAAACCACGAAAACCTGTCACAGTTTCGAGGTTGCATGATCTAACTATTCTTTGCCAGCACTTGCTTAAACGAACGTGGAGTAAACGAAATGACCAGGCAAGACCGCGATTCGAATACTAGAGAAATTAATTATTTTATTCTATTCTATATTTTGCCGTGGTCAGAACAATACATTAACCGACGATTTGAACATGAGTCGCTTATGTCTGAAGTTAGCTCTACCCTATCGAAGTCCTTCTTTAAAAATTGGTTTCACGCATTGGATGTTTTATGAAAACGCTACTTTTTAATTGTCATTTCTTTTATTATTATTATTTTTGACAAAAACTAATCAATGATGGATATGAAAAGTTAAATGACTTTCAAATGTTTTTATAAACTTGAGCTCCTGTTATAATTATATTATCAGCATTTTTTACTTTATCTAAGCACAGAAGTAAAACGTTACCGTCGGTATTTAACTTTGTAAATATTCTTTAATTCATAAGGAGAAAAAAAATTGCCGCACACGAAGGAAACAGCCTTTAGCTGCTATGATTGGACTTAGGAAATTTATGACGTGTGCGTGAATATATAGCATCAGTTATTTTATCATTCTCCGAAAAAAAATAGACTGCTTTTAATTAATATTCCATTCTATGATAGATGGCTTGTCAAATATTCTGAAATACATCTTTATGTTCGGTCAATTAAAATGAACAATAAGGAGTGGGGGAACGATAAAGAAAATAAGATAAACTTCTGCAAGTTGTCTAATTACGATGTGATAATTGGCATTCGATTGGAATCGAATGAGGTAAAAAAAAAATAATGATAACTGGGGTTTTTATGTTTTACTTTTTATTCCACCCAGTAACTTTTTTTCCTATTGTGCGGGGCAGAATCTAATTTATCTCCTAAAAGTACAATAGTATGTCAGTCGT